TTCACGACATAAACCACTGCTATCTCACGAAATATCCATGACTGCTATCTCAACGCTAATGTCTTTACACATTCTTTTATTTTTATATATTCTCATATTTTTAATGTTGGCTAAGGCATTAAGTCCAAGAGAAATCTGAAATGTCTTTGCTTCTAAAAGGAGGGATAAAATAAAGTTCAATGTTTGAATCATGAAAAAATAAGTACGATATGAGAGTTTTCATATTTCTTGTGCTAACAAACTGATTGGGTTGTTTATCATAGCTTCCAATTAAATACTGTGGAATCAAATAATTTTGACTGTTTCCACCATTTTTAACCATGTGTTGGTATTATGAGATTTGAACTAAGTCTCGTCGATGAGTTACATAATATGATGTGCCACAGCTCTTTTGATGTGCCCGAAGTTACAACTGCAGCTAGAACTGGCCTACTCGTCTATGGAAGCAACCTAAATGAGCAGTTCTATCAACGTCCCATAGACGAGAGTGCCACTCCCAGACGTAGTCAGTTCATTCTGACATAGCCTTGTTTTCAGCAAGTTTTCCGCGACCGCATTTCAGGCTTACGACGAATGGTGCCAAAATGTAGACGGAATTTCAGTGGCGTCATAATCACTGTGCCCTACTGGGAGCGTTCGAGTAGTTTGCCGATTGACTTGGGCAAGTAATGATGGGTAAAGCCACTAAACACGGGCTAATACCCCCTCCCCTTGCATCGCATATACAAACTATTAAAGGCCGACATTCGGGGGAACGCAGTGGTGCAGATTTTGCTCAGTTGTGGGTTCAAATTATGTCTTGCCATCGGTGCCAAAACAACTGAACAGTTCAAAGAGTGTTTAAAAATCTCAGACAGTTATTGAATCACTAAAAAAACCTCCCTATTTTAAAATAGCTTCACTCTTTGACACCAATGCAGCTAAAGTGTATCATGAAGCAAAAGCTGTCGACTACCAAGGTCGAACCTCTTGCAGAAGTTGTGGTCGCCCATGCAAAATGGCGGACCTTTCTCAGCTGTTGGCTGCATTGTGGAGTCATTGATGGTGGAATGACGTCACATGCGTGCGACGTCATTCCACCATCACTGACTCCGCTCCGTGAGCAATGTCTCTGGTGGTTGACCCGTGTGAGTTCCGACTATGACGTCGGAGATAATCGAACGGCTCGGGGCTGACCCGTGTCGTCTCACCGGGCAAGATACTCCCACGCAGTGCAGCGTGCGCTATGTGTACATGTACATTTCACGCAAGCGCAGTAGTGAGAATTTTACCCACAGGTGTTTAATGTTACTTCGTCTGATTCCAAATGCTCATCTGTGGTCACGCCACTTCAAATAATACACTCATTTCTCTTATCAGTTTTCAGTTGATTTCTTTAGGGGGCATTATCAGTTAAAGGGACTATGTAATATAATAATTTTATTGCAACCCTTGAAGTTGGACCTTTTTGTTGCAACTAACCTTGTTTTCAATTTTCCTTTTGCTATGTTTATTTGTATTTAGAGCCTTTTTGGTTTTTATGACAACGCCGTTTTGCATATTCATAAGCGAAACTGTGGTTTCATTCAAGTTTTAGAACCTCAATGTTGTACAAAAACATTCTGGAATTTTTGGTCTTCTGATGTAGTAAATATAACTATTTGGCAATTTATTGTTATGTAAGCACACGGCAGGGAGCCAGGAAGCAATCTTATCTCAAACGTTTTTTTCAGGCGTTCAAAATTTGAACATGATAACATGTAAACTGAACAGTGTCGCCCATGATTTACATTAAAACAACAGCGCCCTCACTTGTCCAGAAAAGCTTGAACATGTTTTAAAGTTTAATTTTAAAAAGGTGTTTCACGAAAGGGTTTCACAAAGTTTGACTAATTGAAGACGAGTATAAAGACGCAAAAACGTGAGTCTAAGAAAACAAAAAAGTATAGACCCTTTAATATTGATCAATGATGGCATATTTATCTGTCATGTACTGCTGTTGTAACACTATACAGTTTGTCTTTCGCACTGTGACTGTCCTACGTACCCACATCCACAAATGTGCATGTTGACATTGCTCGGTTTCATGGCTGGTGGGGTTGGTCTTTTGGGTTTACGGCAATCCAGATCAAATGCATGTGTAACGAGGTGCCTTGTTTTGAAATAAGTTCACTTAATGCTTTTTCATTGCAAGAAAGCATTGCCTCGTCCCAGAAACATAAGCATGCGCCATACTGAGTTGCAGAACAAAATTGGCCCTTCATATCAATAAAGTCAACGATGAAAACCGACATTTACATAAAGGACAAAAACAACAATGAACATGCATTGTTAAATGAGATGTGAATAGGACATACATGATTCCTACCGACCATGCTCGTCAGTACCTTCGTAATTGACCTTTGGCCTGCACAGGAAGTGACGTTTACGGTAGTCGTACTGGCAATGCGTGGGAATGGATACTAAAAGGCCGTCGATTTCGTGGACTTCGTCTGGGCATGCGCAAGTCTGGACTCTGTTTCTGTAGCGACGGCCGAGGCAGAATTCATTGGGCTGACACTGTTGAAATAGAAAGTACCATAACAACATGTAGTACGTCTGTCTTTGAGCTGTTTACGATTAATATTTATTTCTCCTTAGAAAAATGCAGTACTTATCATATGAAGTATATGATAAACTTAGCTGAACGGTGTGGCACACCCTGCTTGGATCATGCAATTGTTGACAATGCTAAAATCACAAACAAATCATTAGAAAGTAAAAAAAAATAAAGAAACTGTGAGAGGGTTTTTCAAATTGAATGTAAAAAGACCACCAAGTGAATTTCCTTGGAAACATTTTGTGCAACACTCTCCTCTTCTTTTTGGTTTAAAAGTTTCTATGTTTTGCTGACCAATGAGGGCTCCATGATTTAATTTCATGGATACATTGTTTGTGAAAGGGTGGGTCCGTTCTAATTGTGATCCCCAAATTCGCTCAAGAAAAAAAAATCGTTTACATGCTTACTATTATGTATTCAAAGAACATTGCACTATTCACTGAAATAAGTCACTACAATTTCAAAATTATCATTCACTGCAAAATTACTACTCGAATAACTGGAATTGAGACACTTGAAGTCTTAAATGCATAGGATTTTCTTGCCTCAGTTAGAAATATTATGTATATGAGCCAGGAAAGATAAATGTTATATCGGTGGTATGGAGAATTTTTTCAAGAGGGAAACCTGACAATGTGAATTACGGATCTCCCTGCGCAATACCCTTGGCGGTGTCTCTTACAGATTGGGACATTTGTCACTGTCTGTCTTTTGCTCGGCCCATGAAACGTACGTGCGCAAACTGAACCACCGGTCCCGCGAAAGTCATCAGAGAATGCTAAGACGCGTGGAAATGCTTAGAGAATATGACTGTGTGACATTGAGGGAAAGGTATTTGCAAAAGTAAGTGGATGGAGGGGAGAACGTGTGCTTTGCAAGAAATCTTGTTTCTGCTCACGACACACCTTTTTCTCACATACCAGTGAACTTAATCATATGCAAGTCGGTCCTCGTTCGGAGTCAACGATCTGTGTCGTGTGCAGTCTCCGAATTTACATCGTGACTGACGAAGTGAGGCGCGAAGCCATCTGATGAGGATGGGCACCACGACACGACTTTTTTTCTCACCGTGTGGAAATCGAGTGAGACGGCGCCTTCCATCAGGCGAAAGCTGTTACAGTGTCGCACTTGACTGGTTCCAAAAAGTTCCTTATTTACGGGCAGAAATACCCTTCATCAATTTCTGAAGATGATTTACTCCTGATTTTTTTGTGTGTTTTGGTAAAACCGGAGAAAGCGATTGTTAACGTATCCGAGTTGCACTTTTACACGTTTTTAAGACTACCAAATAAATTATGATCTTTGTACCACTTTCATTGCGCAATAAACACACCAACATTAAACTGTCGTTTGTATTCTATTTTTTATTGGGAAGCAGAGAAATTTTGATAATTCATGAGATACTACGCCTGAGTTATTCACACTGACTGGCAAAATTATTCTGCTATATAAACACGTATTTTACACAGTCTACTATGTTTCTCAAACGTTACGTACCTGCTTCCGGGCACAATTGTTGTAATGAAAAATATTACCCGCTAAGAAACTTCCAAAAATAAGCTCAGCATACGTTGAGAAATATGGTACACATTTTCTTCAAAAATCTAAGAATTTTTATAGAATCCCCAAAGTTATATCCTTGTGAAACCTGATTAACGGACAGGAAAGATATTGCAAACAAGTTCGCACAGCATGCTACCTGCACAGTAAGTTAAACCCACCTGCCCCAGAAACGGATTTTTTTCCTTCTAGGGGCCTGATGAGTATACCGGGAATGGAGTACCGTTTGCTCGTGACTGGCAGCACCTCAGTCATCGAATGCCACTTTAGATTCATAGCATTTGGACAGGGTCTCTGCGCTGCTTAATCCCGAGCGCACAGTGTGAAATCTTAGCTGGAGGAGAAAAAAAAGAAGCGAGGGGAAAACGTGCAATCCCACCAGCCAAACCGAGTGTGGCATCAGCTTGGGAGTTTCACCACTCCGCCTTGATATCTCAGCGTCTCTTGGTCACAAACCTGAAGATGTCAGAAGTTTCTCCAAACTAATCTCTGGAAAAAAAATCTCCACTTTAACTATCGCCGTTCGAAAAACGTTCAAATATTATCTTGATTTCAACAACGCAGCAACCACCCAAAAAAAGAGAAAAAGAAATCAACGACGGCATTCCCACACAAAATCATGTACAATTAAAGGCTGACTGATTGAGTCAAGACAACCAAATTAGATTAACGTTTGCATGTACACAGTCTTTCGTAAGTGCTGTTGTGTAAAAGATCTTTTCAAAGTGACCCTTCTGGCGAGGGTATTTTTGTTTCTAACAACAACAAACCAGACAAACATACAAAAACCCACTGGTAATAAAGTTTCGTTTCATTAAGCAAAAATGCCATATACGTCAGTGAAATGGTACTTTTCCAGTTAACTGTCGAACACTGTTGACTTTTTTCCAGGTATGTTGGAATCGGTCGTTAGCTAGCATTCGTAAGGTTAATTTACTAAAAGGTGCTGTCGGCAGGGAACCGCAGGGGTATGTCAGCACCGTGTGACGTCACTGCTACCCAGACCTTCAAAATATTTACCACGTTGTCATCCGACTCTGCCTCCGGATACAAGAGGGCCGTAATTGAACAGATATTGATGAGGCAGACATTGTCCGGATAAACACAGATTTCAGCACGCTACGGCTAAACTGATTAAGGTCTAAATTTGGTGGAAACACTGCGGGTATTTTGCAACATATAAGTTTCGGCACGGTTTGCGTGTTTCTCGTTGCGGGCACCTTTTGCCTGGACCCGAGTCATATCCCCCACAGCTAGCCTTGATTGAGAATCTGCAAACCACTTCGCATACCATGTTTGGACTGCCTACGAGAATGGTGGCCAGGCTATGTATTGCGCGCATCAGTAAAAGCTACCGGTGGTTAGGTAATCCAATTTTTCATCAAGTTGTTGATATGTAGCGCTGGAGATCTCGCACTGCCAGCCAGAGAATTTGCTTCCCCAAACTTGACACGTGATGTTTTCCTGAGGAAAATCGGTAGTCGCTTTAATTAATAGGTTGGGCACAAGAACACTTAATATCCTCTCTTATCCCTTATTGGTAACCTGCATAGCCTGAAAAAGCAGAGCACGATGTTTGTAGCCTTTGTTTATATGAAAAATTCCCATGAATGGATCTTCCTTTTTTTCTTTGTGCGGGCAAAATTCTTCGCTTCGTCTTCGCTGACGCCATTAGGTGTCATCGTAGTCGAAACGTGCTCGGTGTCCATGTTGACACTGTCGTTTAGATCCCCCTAACCTTTAATGTCACTGCTGCTATCGTCTACGTTGTCATCCCGGTCCCTACGTGATTGCCATTGTCGTTTATACCTCGCCGGTTATATCACAACTGCAGGTCGTCACAGCACCGTCGTCCGTCAGCATTATCGTCAGTGTCATATTTTGTTATCACAGTGATGTATATAAACAACCTGCCCGGGGTTCACATAGTATCAGTGTAACTAATTCCACTCTGCGGCAGATCTATAAACCTATCTGTCAAACAAAATTGACTCATCTCAATATGGTCTTGACGCAGACTAGAAGGTACAAACAACTCAACAGTTCTTCTTCATCGCAAAAGGTGGAACAGAAAGAGGAGGTCCTCGCACAGGCAGGATGAAGCTGAATTGTTCAATGCTTGGGATAGCGAAATCAGGAAGTGTCTGTTTTGTCCAAAGTGCCTGTTTTGTCCAAAGTGATGACTTCGATCAATCCAGGTTCATTTGGGTGAGATAATGATTTTGACAAACGACTGAGCGTCGCTCAATGCTAGACCTCCAGGGCTGAAGGCTTGCTGTGCGACATGTGATGGATGCCAGGACATTCTCAGGATAGCACAGCTTACTCGTTTCCTTCTACGTGTATCTTCCCACTCAAAGTACTGTGAAAGTCTTAAATCTCAATAACAGATTTCTGACCAAAAAAAGGAACTCGTGTTAACCTGGGAGTTGCAAGGCCTTTGGTTATCACATGCAAAGTACCATCCTGAGTTTAGTCCATTAGATCGAAATACTAAACTTGTCGCAGGTGCGCTGAAAACCAGAAATCGTTGGTAATTGAGTTACAACAGTACTAACTCAAGAAAGCTCTTTTTATTGTGGTACGTTTGTTTGTGTATAGCTGTCGGCAACTAGATGTGCTGGTTTGAAAGGTGCTGCCGAGAGCAGTCAGATTCAGAGGACAGAGTATAAGCGTTGTCTGCCTCTAAGCAGAAAAGCATTACCTGGAGCAACACCATGCAGTGTTTGAATAAATCTCGACAGGGTTATCAGCATTACAAAGAAACCTTTTTTATTGTCTGCAACAGTTTCGGTCCGTTCAGTGGCCACCACATACTGTAATCCACCTTGAGCAGAAGCATCTCCTCATTGGTTGAAAAATGCCATGCTGGTGGGGAGTTTTCGTTTCGTTGGTAGAGACGCGCACGCAACATGTGCATTTCACAGCCGTTGGTGAACCAGCGAAATGAGGTTCCTACCAAAAAAGCCTCCGTCGCTAGGAAAATCGCGCCCTCACTTGGTCAAGCTCGGAGCCTATAGGGTAAACCTCTCGAACACGAAATGGCTAGCAAGTATCCAACCTCATTCAATTCTAGACAAAATGGTGTGCTCCTTGTAAGACGTTCGATGTTACATTTATATTATCTGCCAGTTTTCTGTACATACAATCATATCATGAGGTCAGGGAGGCCAAGAGATATTCTGTTTATATGTTTAGCAGGGATAACAAAAAAACTTCATTGAAACTGTATTGAATTGCAGCAGTAAATGGTATTCATGTAAACCGAAATGCATTTGAACTAAAGTTGGTGAATGTGAATCCCATTGGCGGCTGATGCATGCTGTGTTATTCTACGACCAGACGGAAACAAAGTGTCCACCAGTTTTCATTACAAAACTGTTTCAAAGCCATTTAAGTGAATGTCATTTGACATTGATTTATCAACCCAACTGCACTGGGGAGGACTCCACCATTCTACTAGGAAATTGAAATTTAACTCTTCAGCCCAATTGCCACTTACTAACTTTATGCGTTGGAAGACTGATTTATAGGAACCATAATAAAACGTGTGTCCATTTTCCAATCATTTCCTCCGGGCTTCACTCTCAGGTTCACATTATTGCATGTGTAAGAGACGTCTTCGTCAAAATATGGCAACTACATTAGCTGAAGAAGTGGTTCATTACACCGCCAGAAAATCTTTTCTTTTTCTTTATGCTAATTTGGCGACCTGAAGTACGAGCCAATTCCGTGGTGGCACCATGCTGGCGTGTAAGTCATCTGCGCGCGATATTGATCATGCTTTTTCAACCATTGTTCTGCATCATACTGTGTTACTAATACGCATAGTGCATTTGATTTCCAAAATGCACCCTCCTTAAAATTAAGAACGCACGCGTGCGTGGTGACACCACCGCCGTTTATTTGAATTTCCAGCACATTGCAACACCGAAATAAAAAAAGTCCGTCTTATTAAATGCAAAACATTTAGGGTTCATCGTCGCAAGATGGTGCATTTAATGTCAAATACAAACAGACATTTCAGCAGTTATAGGCACCTGCCTCGCACCTGCAGTTTGGTCAATCAATGACCTCCTTGTATTGCATTGGATTTGGAAAGGGCACTCAGAGAGCTCATCTCCGCGCACAACTCTGATGTGTCATGCGATCACCGTCATTCAAGAAATATGAAACGGATCAAAATAAAACAGTGTACGGTCACAGGTTTGGTCTGAAACAACAGCACAGTTATTCCTGGCAAAAACTTAAGAGGAAAAGACTGTTGTAGTAACACCAGAGACAAGCTGCGCTTTGGTTTACAGAAGAGCGCCCACGGTGTCCAATTTTATCCATGTTTTGAACGGCCCGCTCGTCACGGTATTGCTCAACTAGAAACAAAACTGTCATCGATAACCGGTAAGCGATATTGTGTCTGCGTAAAACAGCGATCTGGCTTCCAGGAAAATAGACGGGAGATCGCAGGAGCAATCATGAGATTTTCTGTCAACGTTGAAATCTCTTCCTGACGTGACTGCGGGGAAATGCGGAAGTGTGTCACAACAGCGGATGTGTTGAGGTTGACCCTTCGCCGCGCCCTCGCAATTAGTACGGCACTGAGATAGGCTAATTGTTTCAGCATGTATAGCGTAATTTCTCTGAGTCCCGTGGGATACAAATCGTTTGAATAATAGCCTGGTTCCCTACGTCTGTTTGCGCGTGACATGTACACGAGAACCCACGGATTCCCTTTTCTTTCTGGCCGATTTCACTAATTGCAGCTATTTATAACAAACAAAATAAATTTACCGTACAGCCACAGATTTGTAAATCCCTGCGGTTTACTTTATTTAATGGATGGGTGAGTTTCACACAAATGTAATTTTGTCGAAGAAGTCTAGCGTCAGGATCAATCGAAACGGTGCCGTTGGTGATCTTTAGTCTTGTTTCCAGCAGTTTGTTGAGGCAACTCGAGGGACAGCATTTAATCACTCGAAGTAAGCAGTGATACTTTTCCACCCGACTTGAATAAAGGTTATAATCCTGGCTCTGAAGGGTTTTTCCCTAAGGGAACTGAATTCCGACATTTGTAGGCCTACGGGGGAAGCTTCACGAGGCATGAAAACTAGTCTCCAGTAAACTATCGCCAGCAGGCAGCACTTCAGTGCTTCCACGTATAAAATACATTTAATTTCTGGGCAATTCGGTTGCGTTGGCGATACAAGTTAAGCGATTGAGACCCGCCCATTTCTTTCCCAGGCTCATGCAGTCAGCGCCAAGAACATATCCCTCGCTCGACTTCGTGTTTTGGCGTTTTGTGTGTGTGTGTGTTTTTTTTTGTTTTTTTTTTCTTCTTTTTTTTTTACGGTTTTCGGAGTCAGACCAATTTGCTGGGCGACAACATCCGATGTGTGACCTTTCCGGATCAAATCGGGCAGAGCATCAGTCCAATTACACCCACTCTGGACGAAAGGACGTTATAATGCCAAAGGTCCAAAAGCAGTTTTGGTAACTGTGCACACCGCTTCCATAATTATTGATTGGGTATCGTGTGCCCTGTAACAATTATGATCATTTCGCCTTCAGCTTGCGCTCCCCCACCCAATTTTGCTTATTTAGCGCACCTTACTCCATGTGTTTTGACGTAGACTCGTTTTTTTATTAATAGCTTGCAGTTGATGATCACTTGATCTACGCACAGGTCGATGGGAAATGTCTTTGAGTAGGCTCTCTGTTTGTTAACCAAGTCAGTAAGTCAACAGTATATTCAAGGACATAAGGCATCTTTTATAAGAGCAGGCTGCAAACGGAAGTTTAAACGCAATGCAAAACAATCGTCGCGATATAAACTGTAATGGAGATCAATGGTTACACCATTCTATGGATGCGATCGCGCGGTTACTCCTGTTAACGCGATAGAGAATGCGCGCGCATTACTCCTGGGTCAGGAGTAGACTCCTGCATTACGGGGAGTGCAATCTCGCTGATCTGCAGGGCGTACTCCTGCCGTTTCGGGAGAGTACTCGTGTTAACACGAGTAACACGAGTAGCTCGCTCGAACGCATCCTATTTGTCAAGGAGGTATCTAACGCGCGCGTACTATACATATGCGCAAGCGTAGTACCACCACGGTTATGGCTTCTAATTCTGGTCACCAGATCAGTTCATACATCGGGAGGTTTGAAGAGTTACCTGAGCCCTATCCGTCGGTCAAGCGTATAGGCCTACTTCAACATGACCCTATCTGGTGTTACGGTTTTCTCAAGTAGCTGATGTACCTATTAGGGGAAATCGTGCGTGCTTCAAGTTGATATGACAGCTGGAAAACAGATACAAGGTAATTGAGAAGTACTGCACTTTTTGCCTGAGATTTCTTGTAGCAACGTGAAATTCCATAGGATTACTTTTTCCGCCTTCATTAAATGAATTTTAGCGTAGGATTACATTTAAGCTTTATTTGGTAATAGAACTGCCTCAAATATCTGTATCGATATATCCAGCAACACCCAAATACAGTACTTACCGTACTTCTGGGTGAACAACTAAGTGCTTTCCGGATAAGATTCGTTTTGCACCCGGTCGCTCGCTAGCCGGACTAAATACCCGGACTTCTCAGGCTGACAAGCGAAGCCAGTCAGCTTCACCGAGTTTCGATTACAGAACCCTTCAACGGGAACTCGACGGCACAGAGCTGACGGAACCGCAAATTACTCTTTAGTTATTTGTATATTCAATTTTAATAGAAAAATTACACATGATTAGCAAAGCCGTCAATTTTTCTGGGCCTGAATGGCAGGTGTTGCGTCTTTCTTACATGTCCTTATCAGGGCTTATGTTTCCTACTTGCATATAGGACAACCGAGTTTTTATTATTATCAGCTTCGATAAGCACACCCTTTGACCAAAAAAACGGGTACACAACACTATCCGTTGTCGTTGAGTCTTCTAATGTACACCCCTGAAATGAATTATGGGCCTACATGTATCTCCCTGTGATAAAAGTATCAAGGTGTAATTTATGAATGATTCAAACAAAAGACGATATTAATACAGACGGAATACTCACTGTTTCTTCTCCGAAGCTGCCGTATCGGCTGGCCTGCACGACTGCCGCTAGACTAACTGCGATGCATATTACCGCTACCACGTTCTGTGGTTTCATATCCATTGCTTTGTGTGATAAAGGAGTCGTGTGACTTCGAACCAAACAATTCGCGGGCTTTGCAAGTTCAAAACAAAGTACTGTCTGATCTGTATTCTAAGCACGAAAGTTCGCGCGTCTGTCGTGTGGGAATGTCGTGCCGTGCTTCGCTGAGTATGACGGCTTCGTATTAACAGGAAAAGTGTTGATGTCTGCTCCGTGCTTCCTTTTAGATATATTGATGTATCTTGGTGGATATCTAAACAAGGGATCTCCAAGTGCGCGTTCTATGGATGAGGAGCTGTTGTCGATTACCCTGCATTCAACCGCGCGTGGCAGCCGTCCATTTACTCGGGTGGTATCTCGGACGCTTTCGAAGTTGGAAACTTGAGCCGAAAAATGGTTTTGTTTGCGGACAGCGTCATGTTTTTATATCTGTCACTGGTCACTGGTGACGTCACCGGTTCCTCCTCCCTCGGTGATTAATGTCGCAGTCACGTGACCCGACTGCGGAAGAGGAGGAGGCCACCTTTTAACCGTGATCCGCATCGCTGCGGCATCGTGTGTGTGGGGGTTGGCACTCGAGTGAGTGCACTTCAGGTAAACGATTTATGAACGAGACACGTTGACCGGGGAAGTGCAAGCCAAACTTGCCAGGTTTGTGGAGTGGTGGGAACTTTAAAGGGGCTTGCACGGCTTTTAGCTCACTTTTGCTGACGATGCAGGGTTTTGTCTCAGCGGAGTAAGCTTTGGTTCAGTTAAGACAAGGGAACATACAAAATATTTGCATTCAGTTCATTGCCTAGAGGTTTGAAGTTTTATGACCATTTCGTTTTTCATTTGTTAGGTCTACACAGTGGCTGTCCAGCCCAGTGCGAAATGACTGAGCATTTCACTCCATTACCATGCTAAATTAAAGGCACAGATAAGGATGTATAATACAGTGTAGGGCCTACTAGATAAACCACCTCAGCTGCATCAAGGTCTGACGGGGACCGCAACTCAATATAGTTCGTATACGACGCCGACATCCAAGTATAATGAAACTCTGTATGGGACTCTCCCAGTTTATAATTACGGTCGGATCCAGAATCACATTTGCGGATTCTTTCATTAAACCTTAATGGCCCTTCTGTGCGAGGTTAACTTTGACGCGCACGCTCTAAAAAGTGGTTCTCTCATTTTATCTAAAATAATCCCTCTTAATCTGCAAAATGCACAGAAATAAAGTCCGTCGGCTTTGTCACCCCTTATTACAGTTTGTTCCGGGACTGATTGACACTTTGAGTCACAGCTGCAACAAATCACTCGTGACGCTTGCAAAATGATTCCTAGTACCCTTTTCCATTCGCTGGCGGCGCCGCATGAAGTAGGCTGCAGTAGCGGAGACAGTGCCCCTTTAATGCAGCGCGTGGGCTTAAAGCCGAAGCGACACGTTACAAGCCTGCATGAAACCGGGGGCCTCGCAACTGATCACCGCCAAAGTCCGCGGGTGATTCCCCTCATCCTACAGGGTCAACGGTCGACCCTCGCTCGCCGAGCGTTGAATTCTTTGTTCCATTCCAAGAGAAGACTGGGGCAAAACATTTGTTTTTTTCAAACGCTGCGTAACTGCATCTCTGCCTTCTAATAACTGCCACGCACATGTTTATAGACATTTGCAATTTAGACCAATTAGCTTTCTAATGGGTTCCCCATGAGTTAAATGGCCGGCCCAGATTTTAAATGTCAGCAAATGTGTTGTGCCGGATATGCTTTGACGTCAGAAAAATTAGTTGCCGTTAATATATACTTTTACATTTCCAGCTAGGTAGCTGTGGAAAAAATGGAGAAGGGAAAAGCGTGTCTCACTATGTACATTGACAAGTATTATGCAATATATATACGCATGGTCTTACAACCATGAGGACTTCAATTAACGGATACGGCAACAGCAATTCAGATGTACTGCTGATATGAAATAATAGCGTCTTCAAAGACTGACCAATAGGGAAAACGCTCTCTAAAGACTTCGAGTAATAGGCCTACAATGTTACTAGTGCTGCCAAAAAAATTAAAACAGGGCTTCTGTACATTTCTACTGTCGATTAAGACAGTTCAAGGAAGGTATACCCATCAAGAAATGAGACGGAAACCTTCCTTATTGTCAAATCCCTATACACAATGTAGACTATTCTTACCTAACACCCCCCCCGTCTGAAAAGAATTCCCGAGATTCCAGTGAACAATGACCAACACAAAGTGGGGGGGTCTCTCTGTCTCATATCTCGCTTCATAATGTATGACGAATTATATGTGTGCTCTTGGAGTCAAATAGTCAAATAATCAAGAAAGGAACTGGCAGCTGTGGAAAAACAATGGAATGTAATTTTCTACCTCAAGGAAGCATGTCCTTCAACTCGTGGCTGACAATGACTCACATCTCTGCGATGGAGGACGCGGACCAGCTGTGCGAGTCTCAAGAGCATAAGATTGATAAACAATAACGAAAGTGGAATTCTTGCGGAACACTTTAGCGGAGGTCTATTCTCTACGGGTCAATGTCGCATTCAAGGCATCTTGCAGGGAGGGGGGGGAGGTTGTATGTCGATCGTCCCTGAAGAGTTCGGGGATGTTTCGCCAAATGGTTTTCTAGCAGCGGATGTGCTGTTCCTCGTGGTTAATCGCCGTGATCCCGGCTGTGGAACTCGTCTGTTTGCCGCCGTGGCTCGGTACTCCAGTTTTGTGTTGATTGATGGGTTTTGCTTCTTTCCTTAATGAGCACCATGCTTGCTCTAATGCCAAGTCTGTTAATATCCGATTTGGAATGTTAACGGAGCTATCAAACTTTGGGGTAGCGTGAGTCAGTTCACAAAGAATTTCTGCCAAATCTACAGATTCAGCTTGAATTCTCGAATTTGCACGTTCTTGAAATGTGACTCGAATAAGTACGTTAGCTCTACTTAGGCTAAGACCTAAATCAAAGCGTTTGCTCAGACTCTGCCGTGTTAAATGAGTTGTCACATTGCTGGAAATGTGCAAAACTTGAAATTTGGATAAGTTCCTGGTAATGGCTATTTTAATCTTGTCAAAGCAATCTTCGCAACTCAACACTTTTTGCAAACAGTTGAAGTGAGTGGCATTTCTACAGCCGTGCTCTGAGATGTTTACGAACCTTACTTCATAGCTTTGGCGAATGATAGCGGTGAGAATAGTGACGAAAGAACTGCAAAGTTTTTGGTTTACATTACAGGCTTTCTGTGGTGTGGCCTTTGCTTACTATGACCCCAAACAAGCGGCGAATTGGTCCGCGTGGGTCCAAGTGTTGGGTTCGTTCCTTTCAAGGAAAGAGAACAAATGTTCATTGCTTTGTCATACAGGGTACGTTGTTTGTGTTTCGTTTTCTCTGATTGAGGGTTTGTTTTGCTCCGCCTTTCAAATTTGAAGGTCGGGAAGAAACGTCCTGAGGCAGCTGATGGTAAGCCCTCACAAGGTGAAGGCTGATTGGTTATTAGAGTAGCTATGCGGAACTCGGTAGTAGTCATTACTTACGCGTGCATGGCGGCTACATGTAGGGCCTACCGCATGATGATCGCGTCCGGTAACCAATTAATTGTTTTTGTGAGTCGATTCGAGTCATTGTCCCGAGACTGAAGTCGATTCGAGTCATTAGGCAAAATAGTCGGGTCGAGTCAAGTATATAGTTCGAGTCAATTCGAGTCACCGATACTTGAAGACAGTGCGATAAATAAAAATGAGCCATTTTAGCCATTTTTAAATTTTCCTCCTGATTTCTACACGTATTCACGCCACAACTTACTCTTGATGATAATAGCGCATGACACGAAGATTATAAACCGGCACTGTAACTCTTAGCAACTTTTTTCCCAAGACGTTTGCCCTTATTTTGGGTCTCGAATCTATCAATTATTAACTTCCACTCGAGTCGGCCATCTCCTGACGAGAGACTCGAGTTGAGTCTTTTTACCCGTCAGGACTCGAGTCGAGTCGCCAAAACTGTGACGTGAGTCGGATTCATGTCGAGTCAATGACTCTAGTCATTACAAATCTGCTTATAAGGACAGGGAGAGCTGAAAGACCAGGTAAAAAAATATGTGGAGGAGCAGTATACTGATTTATATTCGATGCTCGAGATACGGCCGAACCTCTTCCTGCCAGTGCAAGAATGTGATGAGCCAACACTCCCGAGACTTGCATCTTTAACACTGAAATCGTTTAGATTAATTGCTGGCTACGCCCGACCAAAAAAGCTTCCTCCAGTGCCCCTGCGTCCCCGCCCCCTGCATAGTTACACCACTGGACATAGTGGTAGTGGTATATTGGTGTGTGTGTTTTTTTTTGGGGGGGGTGAATGTAGGAAGTGATAGGGACAGCGTATGCAGTACAGCAGCCGTGATTTTGCACAACTGAACGGGGTCGACTAAACTGCATCAAATGTCCAGTATTAAAACAAATCTTCTATAAACTTCTGATGGTAATTGTTGGAAGTCCTTTGATTGTTTCTCAGTTTTGTATAAAAAAATTATTAATACAGTAACACAAAGCAGTGCAGTCATTTCATAAAACGTTCATACTCGTTCTAGGTTTCATAAGCAAAAAGTGGGACCTACCTGAACGCACTTGGCGAATATCATGCTTTGGGAGTCTCGTAATTTGACGCAGTTGTATCTGCCCCCTCCATTTAAATCTTCTCAGGGCCCGCCCCTACTCCGTATCAGTCGACCAAATCCAATAATGTGCGTGGGGTCGGTGCTAGCTGGAGGCGTTAAGCTGAGATCTGACAAGGCTGACTGAATGTGATCGCGTTAGACGCCGAAAGTCCAAGTCGCCCGAACGCGCGTCTTTCGGTAAGTTTGCCGAACCCAATTGCTCCCCAAGTTTCAGGGGGGCACGTGGTGACGTCATCGTTTTCCGAGTCGGTGACGTCATGCAGCCAGCGCAGCCACGACCACTGGCTCAGCAATGACGTCATTCTACTGCTGTCGGGCATGGGGCTGTCAAACCTTCCACTACCCAGTCGGTGCGCGATTGAGGCGTTAATCCGTTAATCCTTGGCATTTTAAAGTTTGTTACCTGACGGGTTTACGGAAAATGGATCACACGCAGATGATTGCTCCCACTAAGCACATCTGCTGGCACGACTTCCTTTTTTCCAAGACAGTGGGATATCCAAAATATTCCAATTAATCAGTATCATCAGATTTTCCTGTATGTTCTCATAGAGTTGCTTAAATCGGAATCTTCCTCTTGTAAGGAAAGCAGACGTGTCTGTTGGTGAGCCATAGGAAATGGGAGATCATTGAGATGTATACCGCGAGAGGTCGCTGCTCAGTCCTTGAAGAACCAGAGGAATACAGACTAGTAGAATGGTGAGGATTTATTATTGTTTGCAACCGAAGGTAGGATTGAGATACATAACACAGTCTAAAAGCACCATTTCAAAAAACAATTGTTCAGAACTTAAGCCTTAATATGAAATTGCTAAGAACAATACAAATGAAAGCAGAATCATCCGATTTATCTAAAAACTAGCTATGTGGAAATCTTA